AGCAGGTGGGGTGTTTGGAGACAGGACACCTCCTTTTCCCTCCCATGGAGTGGGTGGGATGTTGGGAGAATCACTTTCTCCCTCCTCTGGAGTGGGTGGGGGTGTTGGGAAAATCCCTTTTTCCCTCCTCTGGAGCAGATGGGATGTTGGGAGACAGGACACCTCCTTTTCCCTCCTCTGGAGCAGGTGGGGATGTTGGGAGAATCCCTTTTCCCTTCCCTGGAGCGGGTGGAACATTGGGAGAGTCTCCTTTTCCCTCCTCTGGAGCGGGTGGGGATGTTGGGAAAATCCCTTTTTCCCTCCTATGGAGCGGGTGGGATGTTGGGAGAATCCCTTTTTCCTCCTATGGAGCGGGTGGGACATTGGGAGAGTCTCCTTCTCCCTCCTCTGGAGCGGGTGGGGTGTTGGGAGAGTCCCTTTTTCCCTCCCATGGAGCAGGTGGGGACGTTGGGAGAGTCTCCTTTTCCCTCTCATGGAGTGGGTGGGGTGTTGGGAGACAGGACACCTCCTTTTCCCTCCTCTGGAGCAGGTGGGGTGTTGGGAGAATCCCTTTTTCCCTCCTATGGAGCAGGTGGGACACTTGGAGAGTCTCCATTTCCCTCCTCTGGAGCGGGTGGAACATTGGGAGAGTCCCTTTTTCCATCCTATGGAGTGGGTGGGGTTGTTGGGAGAATCCCTTTTCCCTCCCATGGAGCGGGTGGGATGTTGGGAGAGTCCCTTTTTCCATCCTATGGAGTGGGTGGGGTTGTTGGGAGAATCCCTTTTCCCTCCCATGGAGCGGGTGGGGTGTTGGGAGAGTCTCCTTTTCCCTCTCATGGAGTGGGTGGGGTGTTGGGAGACAGGACACCTCCTTTTCCCTCCTCTGGAGCAGGTGGGGTGTTGGGAGAATCCCTTTTTCCTCCTATGGAGTGGGGAATCCCTTTTTCCCTCCTCTGGAGCGGGTGGGGATGTTGGGAGAATCCCTTTTCCCTCCTCTGGAGCAGGTGGGGTGCTGGGACAGTCTCCTTTTCCCCCCTAGGGGGTTGTTCTGGGGGGAAGGAATAACCCCCCCAGTCTGGGTTTATGGCAGGGGTGGTTTTGTCACCTCCCAGGGGAAGAGAAGGGGCTGGGGGTGAAGTTTGTTCCAGAGGAATTCCTGGAGCTGCCCGTGGCTGGATGAACTTTGGGATCCCTTCCCACTCAAACCATCCTTCCATTCCATGAAAAAGTGGGATAACGCCACCACCAGGGCATGGAAAGGTGGCCCCAAACAGTCCAGGGGGTGCCTGGAGCCCCCCAGTCCTCAGGAAGTCAGGAGAGCTGGGCGGGTGGTTTTGGCTCCTGGTCTGGGTTTGTGATAATTAATGGATAATTAATGGATAATTAATGGTCAGACTGGATCTTAGGGGACATTTCCACCCCGAGCAATTCCAGGATTCCACAGGGGGAGAGGCTGAGGGGCAGAGTGGAAAGACTCTGTTTGCACTTGGGGGTGTTTTAATGGCCCTGGAGCGTTTTGGGGCTGGAATCAGCTCGGAAAGTCTCCTGATTTTTGGTTCAGAACTTGGTTTGGGGTTTTTTTTGTTTGTTTGTTTTCCTGGGGTTTTGTTCCTTCCTTTGGGGTGTTCTGGGGAGTCAAAGAGCCCTTCCCATGTGGAGCATCCCATCCCATCCCATCCCATCCCTGTATCCCATCCCATCCCATCCCTGTATCCCATCCCATCCCTGTATCCCATCCCTGTATCCCATCCCTGTATCCCATCCCATCCCTGTATCCCATCCCTGTATCCCTGTATCCCTG